AAAAATGGGAAGGGAGCTGGTCATGTCTTTCCATCAAGTTGAAGACATTGCTTCTGATCTGGTAACTGGCTGTAAAAATACTTGTCTTTGCTTTTTTTGTTGTTCTTATCGATAGGCCTCTCCTACCTGTGTTCTTCACCTCGCTTTTTTCCTGCTCCTCTTGTTCCATCAAATCCTTTGTTTTTTTAAATCATCAAATTCTCCATGTTCATTTGTCCCTTCCTAATAGGACTGCAAATGTGATCACTTTTGCAAATGTTCTCTTGGCTCTGTCTCCCCTTAAGGTGGTTACCCACTTCTTGCCCTTAAGGAATTTTTTATAATTTGTTATTAGAGGATATTGTATTGAAATAGATAAAAGAATTGAAGGATGGTGTGGAATAATATAAAATTAAATGCCAAAATATTTACATTGTAAGTTCAGCCTGATAGTGGAAGAGGGATATATTAAATATAGTCATGCAAGAACTATATTTCAGGAAAAGAATATGATTTTGACACATTTATAGCTTTCCTAAGTATTATAGTTTTTGAAAAGAGTCTGAAATTAGATAAGATGTCTATTTGGGAATGAGGTAGAAGGAATTTTTACATTGCAAAGAGGTGTGATTTAGATGACTAGAATCTAAGCTTTTATGACTATATGGTATATTTTATAATTCTGTAATGTGGAAGAATATGCTTATGTTTTTTTCGTAGTCAAATAAAAGATACCATATACTTTCAAAACAAAGGAAAATAACTGACATAAGACTTGTATGTATTTTTATCTGTGTACAACAATAATTAGAATTTTTCTTTCCTTATTGATGGGAAATATTTTTATACATAATGTTGACATATGTAAATTGACTACCACTAATGTCTTTGGAAATACTAGACTCAGTTCTTTCTTGGCAGTATGGAATCTGTGGTGATGTATTCAGGCTGTTTCCTGTGTGTTTTGATAGCTCCTTTCTCCCACTCTCACCCCCGGGCCAGAAAACTCAACAACCACACCACAAAACCACATGCAACCACAGTTGGAAGAAGAGTCCTTTGGGTATTTTTTGGTGTTGGTGGTCTGTTTGAAGAATGAAAAAAAATCACTCATTAGAGTCTGGGTGGTTTTTAGAGCTGTCTCTCAGGCGTGAAATTTGAGCTGATGTGCATGTGTGTATTTACGGGAAGAAGAGGCTGCAGATGTGCCAAGAGTGGCCACCAGCCCCAGCTTCAGATACCTTCAGCTGAAGAGGCCAGAGAGCAAGACAGCGGCAATGCGCAGGAATGCCACACTCGTCACACAAGCTCACACTCAAGTGACTGTAGCCTTTTTTACCCACTCACAGCTTTTTGCTTAGTGTTGTCCTCTGTTCTTCACTTGGGACTTTTAGCTGTGATCTCAGAGTTCAATAAAAAGCTTGAAATGGAAAAAGTGCAACAAAAGGAAAAAAAGGAAAGCCTGATAACAGGCAGATGCAGAAATATTTTGAAAACCTTGGTGCTTGAGGAAATATGTCCTTGTCCAACTCGCATAAATACGGTGATGTCTCTTCCTTTCAGTTTTATACTGCCCTGGGGACATGCCTGTGCTTTCCAACTGTAACAAGGGAATAAGAGAGAGTAGAAATAGCCAGCTCTGTGGTCTCTGAGTGTATTTTCATTTATAGGATCTTCTGGCGGAGCGTTTCCCGTCTCTGACGTGGCCTGGTTGACTTGCCTGACATTTCTCCTTGATCACCGAAATTCTCTCGATGTTATGGTTTCTGTATTTGTGACACATTTAGATTCTCTGGGCATCTGCCTTAAAAGTATGATCAGATTAGCATCCACCGAATGAGATGCACTTTTCTCCGTGACGATCCAGATTCTCTAAGGGAATAGGGTCGGCGATTCTAGCTAAGACAAAGGAGAATATAGTTTTCTAGAAAGAACACTGGACTGAGAACCAAGAGACATTCTATTTCCATGAAAATGAACTTGTAAGTTTATGACCTTAACGAAGATATGTATCCCGTCTGTCATGCAGTCTCACTCTCTGAAAAGATGGCATGTAAAGGCCCTTTGAGAACCAACTTAAAGAGTCTTAGAGAACATGTGTCTAATTTTGATTCAGAGGCAATTGGCATGGTGCATGTTCCCCTCATGCCTTTGAAGAAGAACCTGGGAATCCTGGGGCTGGAAGGACTCTCAAGTCTTCTTAAAATCAAAGGAATCAAAGTCTTCTACTTTTTCAACCTCTGGGATAACCCCCAAATTCTGACTTTGCTCATTAACCTCACTATATCATCTGAAAAAAATACCTGGACATTTTCACAAAAATATTATGTTTAGGACAATGAGAAAGTTGAGTCAGAACTTGTTTGATCTCTTATCACTTAAAACAAAGCTGCACGCGGAAATGTTATCTAGAAGGGCTAGCCTGGTAACCAAAGTGAGGTGAAGAGGCTGGTGGTGGGATCATAGGGAGTGGTGGCGACTGTGGGGACTGGGAACACATACCTGCCTGTGTGAGTGGCCATTCCTAATTTTTAACACACCAGATGGACCCGATAAAACGTGCGTTCTCAGTGGCAAAGGGTCATGGTTGCAGCAAACAATGTCTTACTAAAAACAACTTTGTATTATTAGCAATTATACTTTGGGGAATTCTTCAGTTTAAATAATACAGTGTAGGGGCCAGCTGAGTGGCTCAGTTGGTTAAGAGTTGACTTAAGATCACGAGCTCTGAGCAACAGGGCCGTTGGTTTGATTCCCACATGGGCCAGTGACGCTGCGCCCGAGGTGAGCTGTCGCTGAGCTGCCAACAGGTGGCAGGATGGCTCAGGTGGTGTAACAATAAGATTGCCTGTTCGATGGTGGGCTATACCCACCTGCAGCTAAGACTGAACTTGGCACCTTGAGCTGAGCTGCTGCCCAGATGGAACAGTGGATAGAGCATACGCTCTTAACAACAAGGCTGCTGGTTCAACTCCTGCATGGGATGGTGGCTACACCCACCCACAACTAAGACTGAACACAGCACCTTGAGCTTAGAGGCCACGAGCTGCTGACAGGCAGCCAGATGGCGACTGGTGCCCTCCACAACTAAGATTGAAGAACAACAGCTTGGCTGGTCCCCTTTCCCAATTCCCCAATAAAATCTTTAAAAAAAAATAATACAATGTAGTCATAGAAAATATACCCAAGCTGTTTCCCTCAGGTATGTAGCGTGTACAGCCCTTCATCTAACAGGCCTTCCACTTCTTCAATCAACGTTTATTCTCCTTAAAAAGTGTTTCTTTCCTCAGAATTATTAATTCTCGAAAGTGTTCTGTGCTTACATTTTTGAAAAAAAAATCCCTTAATAGTGAATGGTTGGCTTCTTACCCCCTCAACGGAAGCACTTGGTTTAAATATTCCTTAACTATTTTCCAGTGTTTAATTCCGCTGCCCACAAAGAACTTGATCCTTAAGTCTAACCTGAATCATCACCTTAAGCTCATTTTCTCACATTTTATTGTTTGTAGGAGGAACAGATGATCGTTGTTCTCGTTGTAATACCCTTCATATTAGTTTGTTGAAAATAGCTGGGGGTTTTTGTTTTTCCTTTCACGCTATATATATGTCTGGAAATTTTCTCATGGATTTTCTTTTCCAGTGCTTTGATAATTACAATGTAATTTTTTTCTAAGTCTCTCTAATCTGTACACTAAAAAATATTTTGAACTATACCCAGTCCTTTTATGGGTTGATCAAACTGGTGAGAGAACACCATTATCCTACTTCTTTTATCAGAGAGTTAGGGCCCCACAACTGGGTCATATTCACCATATACTCTATGACCTCAATATCTTTTTTCTCCCTACTGGGAGTCTGTTGTAGTCAGACTTTCTTCCTATATTATCCACATAATTCATTTTCATTTGTAAGTGTGCTCGCTATCTTGTACACACACCTAGAAAGCATTGTCTTGTTTTTGATGGATCCTTTCTCTCTCTGATTTGTAAAGGTTACTTGGAATTCTATTATTTTTCAGGAAATCTGAAATCTTAACTTCATTTGTAGCCACAAAATGACTGAGGTATTTTCAATTCCATTATGATAGTCATTGATTAAAAAAATAATAATTCAATAATGTTGGACCCAGGAGTCTGGGTGTTGTTTTATGACTGCCCCATTTGCATCAAGCCATTTATTTCTGTCACTATTAACTAATGGTTTTCCTGTTTATAGATGTTTTTAAACTCCACAGATATTGGCATCATAGTTTCTTTTCTTTTTTTTTTTTAAAGATTTTATTGGGGAATTGGGGGAGGGGAACAGCGTTGGGGAATTGGGGGAAGGGGAACAGACAAGTTGCTGTCATTTTGTTCTTCAGTCTAGTTGTGGAGGACGTTGCTTCACTGGCCCAAGTTGGCACCTTCATTGCACTCTTCCCAGGCGAGGCAGATCAGTCGCCGGCTTCCGGACGGCCGCTCACAGCGGCTGCTGGCTGCTCACGCTGGCTGCTGGCTACACACAGTAGCCCATGACAACCCACTGCCACAGGGGCTGCAGCCTATGCCCTTGCCGGTGACTCACGGCAGCCCAGCTCCGGGTTGAGCTGTTGTTCAGCATCTTAGCTGTGGAGGGCAGTGTCACTGGCCCTCATATGTGGGATCCGAACCGGGGCCGTCTGGCATCCCAAGCCAGCTCTTAACCATCGCGCCACTCGGCCGGCCGGCATCATAGTTTCTTGATTATAGAAACTAGATTTGAAAGATTTAGAATTATAATCTAGGGGGTTGTGGTTGGTGATAGTGGGGAGAATAAACCCAGTAATTGTTTAATTTATGCATGTAGGTTTGGTAGTATCATTATATTTTTAGTAGCAAGGTGAGAGGAAATAGGGAAGCCTTTAGATTGAGTAGAAATGTCTATTTTGTAGATACTTTGTTTTGTGTTGGACTTTGAGAATGTCTGCGCTTTGATTTAAATTTAATAGTTTCCTTTTAATGTATGAACATAATGAGATGTATTTTTTATTGTTGTCATTACAGGTTTTGAAAGGTGACAATGAAATGTGAAGAAGTTTTGCTTCTAATATGATACTTGAAAATTAGTGACTGCTTGCCAAATTTCCATGAAAATTAAATATGACTTAGAAGCATTGATTTATGAAGGTTTATGATGTCATCGGTTGCAACAGGAAGCAAACTCCAGCAGGCTATGAGCCTGCAGGGAGTTGACCCCGAAACTTGCATGATTGTATTTAAAAACCACTGGGCACAGGTAATGTATGAGTTTCACCTTCTCTGCCGGTCTAGGTAGCCCCAGAGGCCTCCATCACACTGAACCAGGGCTTTCCTACCTCTGTGACAGATAACCAGGCTTCCAGAAACACAGGGAGGAAAACCCTTTTTAGGTAGGAAGAAAATCAGCTTTCTCTTCCTGCTTTCCTAGAATAGGTATCTAATTAAAAACCATGGTTTTTACAAAAGCAATTAGGGAACACATATGTTCCTCAGATGTTTTTAGAAGAACAGCAGTTGGCCTTCAAGTGACTTGGACATTGCTTTTAATATATTTGACAGTGGTTCCATCCTTTCTCTTTCCCTCCTCCCTGCTGATTTCCATCCAGACCATACACTCTAATAATATTAACATACACATTTGTTAGATATTTGCCAAATGCTATGCTGAATACTTCAAATGCCTTATGTCATTTAATCCTCTCCACAAACCCATGAGACAGTTAGTATTCATGTCCTCATTTTATTTTATTTTTATTTTTTTTTAAGATTTTTTTTTAATTGGGGAATTGGGGGATGGGAACAGCGCTGGGGAATTGGGGGAAGGGGAACAGACAAGTTGCTGTCGTTTTGTTCTTTGGTCTAGTTGTGGAGGATGTTGCTTCACTGGCCCAAGTTGGCACCATCATTGTGTTCTTCCCGGGCAAGGCAGATGAGTCGCCGGCTTCTGGACGGCCGCTCACGGCAGCTGCTGCCCGCTCACGCTGGCTGCTGGCTACACACGGTAACCCATGGTGACCCACTGCAGCAGGGGCTGCAGCCTACGCTGTTGCTGGTGACCCATGGCAGCCCAGCTCCAGGTTGAGCTGTTGTTCAGCATCTTAGCTGTAGAGGGCAGTGTCACTGGCCCTCATATGTGGATCCGAACCGGGGCTCTCTGGCGTCCCAAGCCAGCTCTTCACCATCGCGCCACTCGGCAGGTCCTCATGTCCTCATTTTACAGATGAGGAAATGGACGATTATAGAGGTTAAGCGACTTGCTTGAAGTTATACAACTGGTGAGTTTCCAAGCAAGTACTTAGATCTTGGTCCGTTGACCTCTGTGCTTTACCATTTTTCAGGCTGGTGGTCCCTGTGTTATTTAAGTAAAGTAGATGTTGGGCAGTATCTGAATTCATTACAAACCTGATTATAAAAGTTTTTCTGATTATTCATTTTCACTTCTCTGTGACTCTCCTCTGATCTGCTTGTTGGATAATTAAGGGTTGACTATTCAGAACATTTACCAGCTCACCCCTTTCCTAAGGGAGTTTACAAGTAGTAAAATAAATAAAATTGGCATTCTTTACTGCTTGTTCAACGTTACACTCCCCAGGTGAGCTGGTAAGTAGCTATTTATGTGACAGATTTTTAATGACTACCCAGTTCCTTCCTGTGGCCGGAAACAGCACATGGATTAAAGCGCTGAGCCTGTAAATCACAGCAATTATAGGGCACACAGTTTGGATCAAAAACAAAATCAATTCTGCTCTCGGTCATTTACACTTTGTAGCTTCTTGTCCCTATCCCGTGTCAAGCTTCCAAAATTTTTAATGCATATCCCATTCTCTGACTTTTTACCATTACAATATGGGTTTCCTCTGGAAATTAAGGGTACATCGACTTTAGCAAAGATAAGAAAATAGTTCAGGAGTTTTCCTGGTAATAATCACTTTTGGCTTTGTAGTTTTATAAGGATTTAAAAACACTGGCTCCAAAGTGGGTTGGAGAACCCTAAGAGATGTGCCTAATAGGCTATATTAGAGGGATATATAGAGGAATATTTTAGAAGGCTTATTTCTATCTTTATCTTTAAAAATTTCTAGTTTGTGTTTATAATATATATAATATATTCATTTATTAGTATGTGTATATTTATTATTTATCCTCATTTTTTAAAAACTGGTAAGAGTGCACAGTCAGATGTTTTATATAGAGAGCATTTTCAGCTAAGTCATTTCATTGGTCTGAAGAAGTCTATCATTCTAATACGTAGTCTGTGCTCTGGGCCCTGTTTTGTTTGTTTGTTCGTCTATAATACCTTTGATTGTAATCATTCCTGCTGAGGTATCTCTGTGTGATGCATTTAGTATTCTGTGCCCCTCTTCAAAGACATAATCTATCATCAACCTCTTGATTTTATATAGATGGTAGATCATTGGCCCTTTCAGATTTTGTCCTGGTTAAGCTTTCTCCAAAGCTGTTGGAGTGTTGTCAGAGTGTCTTAATTCAGGAAGGTGTAAATACTCTTTCACATTGGCGAAGGAGTAAATATTGGTCCCAGAATCATATTATTCATTTCTATATCCAATATGAATGACTTCAGCATTATCAGACATTTTAGGGTATCTGAAGTATAGCACCCTCCATTTAATGCAAATATTGAGTTGAGGGTAAGAATAACTTTGTCAGAGGGGATGGTGTTTAGTTGGTAAACACGTCCTTTCATAAAATGAGGGCGCTCTTGGTCTTGTTTCAGCCACTTATTTAACTTTGGGCAAGTTTCTCTCCTCTTTAGCCTTGACTTTTCCTTTTTAATAAATCTGGAAGGGGCCCTAAGTCTCTGTCTACTTCCAAAGGCTCCTGAGGGGCTTTCTGTTACCTTTATGAACCAAAATACTCAAGAAATGCATGCGGCTATCAATGTGATTATCGTTCAGTGGAGATTTACTGAGCCCGAACTTCAGATACATCACAGTTAGTGTCACAGGTGGGACATAGGAATGTAATAAGCCTTGGTCTTGGCCTTCAAACAATGTATAAGCTAATTTGGATTACAGTGCAAGATGGATTATTATAAAATGAATAATAATTGCAAACATTAAGGGAAGGGGCTGTTGTGGATGGAAATGGCCTGGGAAATGGGAGAAGTACGATTTGCTGGCGTGACTGTGAGGAAAGAAGGTCTTGGTGACAGAAAGGAGAAGAACATGTTAGAGAAGGGGTGTTGGAAACAAGTGTTCAGCTTTGGCTTCTTTGGATGTTGAAAAAACCAGTGAGGAAGTCAGGGCAAGGCCGAGATGTGGGGCTAGGCATGAGGTGAGTGATGAAACCTTCCGTTGATGGGATAGTCATTGTTTTGGAGTTTCATTCATTAGCAGTTGTTTTGTGTGTGAGTTGTTCAGCTGAGGGTGGATGAAGCACAGTTGCAGAGGATTGAGAAATGAGCTAAAGTCTGACATAAACTCCTATGACTAGTGTGACTATATCCCCTGGGTTCCCTTGAGGTAACCTGAGAAATCCTGTAAGGCTGGTAAGAAACGTAGCATAGACGGAACTGGGCGACAGTATGTTATTTACTGAAATGCTCCATTCGCTGGCAAGCATCACACTTTTTTATCCAGAGTGCTTCTGTTTGTTAGTACACTTCAGTATAAATTTAGCATAATTAGCATATATTTGACAGGTTCTGTTCTACTGTTTACTAGAATAGAAGCTTCTTTCTCAGACCTTGAGTTACAAAGCACACTTTGGTGAAGGAGGCTATCAGCCTGCCCACCTGCACCTCGCTGTCAGGAACAACTAGTTACACAACCAGCCATCCTCCAAGGCAGTCAGGCTGTGATCCAGGACGGTCCAGGGGAGAGGCCCTGAGTGGCCCACTGGCGCACTTGAGTTTCCACACTGTTCCTCTTGGTCCGGTGATCTGATAACATCCCCCAGAATAGCTCCTTAGTGGACATTCAGGAATAGCTGAATTCCTGGAAGTGACCCTGGAGAATCCAGGCAGGAAGTAGATCTGCCCTGTATGTACTTCCTGTCACCTGAGATACCATCTTGTGCCATAAATGGCCAGAACAGTGAATCTAAAACCCAGATCTGACTGGATCATTCCTTTAGTTGGACATCTCAGTGGCATCTGGCCAGCTACAGACGAGGAAGGCACGTAGGGTTATGTCCTGGCCTCTTTCACGCCTCATCTTTCATTTAGTCTCCAGAAATGCAAAACTACTTGGAGTTCTTAGCCACCCCCACTCCTGGGCAGAGGCATCGGGCTGTTTAATGCCTCTCTGCCTTAGGCATCTCCTCTTCTTTCTGCTGGGGGTGGGGGGAATGCAGGAAAAATTTAACCCCTTGGTTAAATCCATCTCCTTTCGTAGGACTCATTTGGGGCATCATTTCCTCCAGTAAACCTTCCCCGTTCTCTTTTATGCCCCTACTCTGCTCCAACAGCATCCTGGGATTCCTTCCCTGTTACACCAAGCACCTCTTGTTAAATTTACATGCACAGTATCTTCTTCCCAACCTCACTACAAGCACGTCGTGACAGAGACCATCTGTAGTTTGCCTACATCTCCAGTGCCAAGAATATCGTAGGTGTTCAGTAAATTGTTGCAGCTCTTCCGTCACAAAAGTTTGCCGACCCCTGGTCTATAAGAACAGTTCGTGGTCTCGTACACTGTTGTTTATATCTCTGGCTTTTGCTTCCTCTGAATGGAAGAGACAGCAAGAAGTAAGCAGCATTGGTCCACCAGACAATAAGCTATACTGCCATGTGAATTAAACCCCCACACTAGTGAGTCTTACAGGCACAGTTGTACTTTATGAAGCGTCATGGGCCTTGCTCTATTCATTCTCTATCCTCTCCTTTCAAGCATTGGATCAGTAATAACTATCTACTTAAAGGTGCCTCCTCTTAGAATCAGGAAAATGGGGTGAAGGGTTAAAAAAAATCAATTGGCAATGCACATTTCTTTGCGCTGCTAGTTAGTTAATAGCCCAAAGCTTCTCCTTAGCACCCTCAGTCTGCAAAAAAATGAGTTGTTAGGCCATTTTTGTAAGCTAAGAAAATTCCATTGCTCAAATAGAGTAATGGTGATAGATGAAGAAAAGCCAACGGGTTTAGTAGCCTTTTTTATCTTGAAGGGGGCGGGGGTAGGAAACACTGAATCATCTAGGTTAGTTAACTAAGTCCAATGTCTTCCCACAAAGCTGTAATGAAAAATAGGTAATATGTTCTAAGTATAGGATCCTGTGGAGAGCTACAAGTAGCCTGACTAT